AATCTTACAAAATACAATCAAAGGCTAGCTAATATGGGACACTATATGCTATCAAAACTTCACAATTTTTCATTAGAGCACGCAATATTTTAATAATAAATAGTTAGGAATGTGCTTAGTAAAGAATATTAAAACGATCACATTACCAAATATTTAACTACGATTACCTTTATAAAATTGAAACTCCTTACAAGTTAAGTGATGCATAATTTCTTGAAATAATTGCAGCAAAAGCCTCTAATCTTTGAAACACTAGCAGATTTTCTCCAAACATTTGATTTGATTTGTTGCAGCCGTTACCCCTAACCTTTTTTAACGTTGTAGGTGAGACTCTTTTGGATTATTTCCATAAAAAATGCTGTTAGGTGACCCAAAAAATTAAAGTCGGACCATTTTTGACCAATTAAATGAGGGTAAAATGATAACTTTATAATATTACCATATAAAATATAATTCAAAAAAAATCAAAAAAGGAAAAGGAAAAGGAAAAGGAAAAACTTTTAGGGCATGTTCTCTTTGATATTTTTAGACCGTTTTCTATTTTCGATTTTTCAAAACAGTGAAAACGCATTCTCTTTCCTCTTTTTAAAAATGAATTTTCGAAAACAAACAAAAAAAATCAACTGAAAACCCAAAACGTCTTTTTGGGCGTTTCCTTCCAAAAAATCAAAAACGCGGAAAACAACTCCTCTCTTCATTTCCCACAAAACGCCTTCCTCAGCCACTGATCCACTTCATCCTTCCACCACCCGCCACCTAAGATGCGGACCCCCACAACACCGGCACTCCCTCACCTCCCTCTACATCCTCCGACCATCGCCTGCTCACCAACCGCAGGAAACAGCCCCAATTCCCATCCAAAACCGCGAGTGCAATCACGATTTTTCTCCAGTTACTTCCACATCTGGCCACCCTCTCGATCGTGGAGCACCACCACAACATTTCTCACAACCAGGCGCATCTAGTTCTACCATGGGTGAGCCTCAATTTTGTCCGGAATCGGCTGAGCTTGTTGGAGCAGTCCGGTAAGTTATTTCCGAACAGTTTGAAATTTGTTTGATTTTTGGTTCCAATTGTTATGGAATTTATTTATTTTTGCATCTAGTTGATGATATGGATNATTTGTTTGATTTTTGGTTCCAATTGTTATGGCATTTATTTATTTTTGCATCTAGTTGTTGATGTGGATTTGGTTTTGTGTCCGAATTTTTAATTTTTGGTTCAGTTTATCTGGAATAAGGAATTTGGTATTTTTGTGCATGAAGTGTGAGGTTTTGGGAGATGCAGTGAGAGTGTTTGATGAAATGCCTGAAAGGAATGTGGTTTCATGTAAAGACTTTGTTGCAGTGTACATCACCTTTAAAAAGATTGTGAAGCTATTGTTGTTTCTACTTAGATCATCTAATGCTTCAAAATATGCAGTACTTCATCTTTCTTTGAAATTAATGCAGAGCTTAGATCTTTCGAGGATTAGCTAATGTCATTTTATCTTTGAATGATAATTGGGCTTTGATAATGTGATTCTATGTATTCAAGTTGTAAGGTCTCAATTTGATGATGCTAAACACAGTATTAGCTGTAGTTGGCAGAACGGTATTGTGCCCTTGGAATTAG